TTAAAATTGGAGGAAAATATATATTCATGCACACTGTAAAAAGGCTGCAGCCATCTTCACAGGTTTGGCTTGCTCCAGCGCCCCCCTACCGCCCTCCTTCTGCTCCAGCGCCCCCATGCCGCCCCTTTTCGTTCTACCGCCCCCCTGAAAAATGAAATCGCCCACTGGGGGGCATTATCGCCCACGTTAAGAACCACTGCTTTAGAGGCTATGTATTGACAGTTTTGAATCAACTGTACAAGCTTCAATGTGCTTCCAAACACTTGAAGGAGCTGATTTTGATCTACAAAGACCTAACTGGTTTGGGAACAAGAAATCTGAAAGATTAATTTCTCCTATATAAAAACTTTACCTGGGATTTGAAATGTTCAGCATATAAAATAGATTAGTGACTATATGAGGCAGGGCTTTCCATGTAGCCATGTTCAATAGTGACACTTCCTCCCCTGGTGGTTCCAGCCCTGGTAAGTTTCAGCAGATACCTGAGACAATATTGTGCTATATGGCTTTTGAATAATAGAATCATAGAATCATAGCCGCCCAGAGTGGTAGAATATACCAGATGGGCGCGATATAAATCAAACAAACAAACAAACGAATAAATAAAATAATGAAATTGGAAGGAGCCTGTAAGGCTATCAGGTCCAACCTCCTGCTCAAAGGATATCTGCCAGGTGGTTGTCTAAATTTCTCTTGAATGCCTCCAGTGTTGGAGCGCTCAACACCTCTTGAGGTAATTGGTTCCACTGCCATACTGCTCTAACAGTTAGGAAGTTTTTCCTGATATTCAACCAAAATTTGGTTTCCTTTAACTTGAGCCCATTATTGTGTGTCCTGCACTCTGGGTTCTAATATGCTCTTATATTGGTGCTCTAATATCTCCCCTCAGTCTTCTTTTCTCAGGAAAGAATATATCCAGTTCTTTCAGTCTTATATTATATGGCTTTTTATGTTTTAAATATTTTAAAGGTTGTTTTTGATCTCTTTTGAAAGAACAGTGGCTTTTAAAACTGGTTTTTAAAAACATTCTTCCCTCTGTTTTTAACTAATGGTTTTCTCTTTTCTTGTTTCTTATTGCTTTGGAAGCCTTCTCAGGCTAACAAATGATGGCTGAAATCCAGTAACATAGTTACACGGTGTAAGGCTGATGATGTATTTTGTTAATACTTTACTGTATTTTGCTAATATGAAGCCTTAGGGAACAGTAAGATGGGAAGAGTATTAAATGTCTGAAAATCCCCAGTGCTGGTCCTGGCAACCGCAGCAGGACTGGAGGTGGCATTTTTTGAACATTCAGGACTCCACCCCCCCTGTCCCCAAAGGCTTCTCCAGGACCAAAAGGAGCCCAGGAACTTTGGGAAGGGGGAAAAAGGAAACATTTTATTAACAATGATCACAGCTGATTACAGCTTAAGTTTACATTACTGGGTTTCAGCCAATAAATAGCTTTAATAAATAAGTAAATAATAGTTATAAGGAATTATTGGAGAGAATAACCTGGCCAAAATTCTACCCATCCTTCTAAGTGTGGAGACGATCCTCATGTCAACACGGACTTTATGTAATATTTGTACAAAAGATTAAAGAGTAACAATGTATGAGAGATAAACTCTCTAGAGAACAAGTGGAAGATCAGATTTTATTTATTTATTTATTTATTTGTTTGTTTGTTTGTTTGTTTATATCCCGCCCAATTAGACAATGTCTACTCTGGATGGCTCATACTGTAACTCATCAGCTAATTATACCACAATGCTGAGAGCATATGTAACGGCAGCAAATTAGTAGCTAAGGGTCACATAAATTTGCCCTGCTCATATGGATCGGCACAAGAAGAAGGAGGAGGAGGAGGAGGAGGAGGAACCAGTGGTAGAAACAACTTAATGACAAACAAAGATGAAAGGGTAAACATAGCCTCAAGAACAAAAGGTTGATAATCACTACCCAAGCACTACAAACCACAAATTAATTTTTGAGAAAGTGAGCAACTGTTTACCAATGTCAGTTTTGCAATAGTAGGATCGCTGTACATTTGTTACAGAGAAAGGCTCTTTTCATATAGCCATGCTACACTGCTGCACATTAGGGAATGCACCCTGGGGAAGGGACAAATCATACGGCGCATGAAAATTACAATACTTGGGAGAGGTGGTCAAACCCTATCAATATTAGATTTGTCTGAAAAGAGTGCCCTCCTGGACTCTTCTCTAAAACAGGAACAAGTGTTTAAGAACAAGAAATATGCAGATAATGTAGCATAAGAACAACATAAGCAACATATAAACTTTAAAAAGCATTGACATGGCCCCCTGCATAACCAGCAACTCCACTCCCTTTCTTCTCCCTCCTTGGCCATTCCCACCAAGATTCACTACACATGGTTCATTTTTGTTCAATAAGGTGCAGACATGTTGCAGATGTGCAAAAGACCACATGGATGGTGATGGGAGAGCCGGCTATCCTCCTTATTAACTGAGGGTGGCCAAAACATGTTCAAAGAGCTTATGATAGGAGTAATTTCTGCTACATTTACTGTGCTGCCTAGGTTTGCTAGCAGAGTTGAATGAGAAGATGATTATAATTATACCCCTATTCAGGCATTACATGTGAAAATGTGAAGGGCAATACTTGCGATAGTAATGCATTCCCACATCACATTAGGAAGCCAGAAAGACCTTCATGTGAAGATCCACAGAAAAGCACTCCTCAGAGTGTTCAGTTCACCCTATAAAGTTATTCCAGTTATAAGGGGGACTGGTCCAATGCGGTGGTAAATTAAATGTGTTTAATGACTTGATATATTAAAGTATACTAAACAGGGCAAGGAACAGAATGTTAAAGACGTGAAAAAGAAATCTTTTTGCAAAATACAGCCATCCTAATGTTCCCCATTAAAATCATTTCAACAATAAAGTGTAAAGGGTAGAAAGTGCTTGATAAATATCTTATTTTTTCTGTGTAGTGTCATTTGCTGCAGCAATTGGTTACCCACACAGAAAATAAGGCTGTGGATTTTACAAACAAGGCTACATAACTCAGGTAAAAGCAAATAAATAATCAGATCACTATTAAGACCAGTGTCATTTTTTTGCTCTAGAACGTGGCACAGATACATAAGTAGGCCACTGAAGGTTTTTGCTCTTCTCTGGAAGAACTGCTTATAAATACAGTAGTGGCAGAAATGCCCATTTGCTGGGGAGAGATGGCCTTTTAAGTTTACATGAATGAACAAAAATGGAATACATTTTTCTTTTTATTTTCTGTCATTGATTCCCACAATAGAGTCTTTAAAAACAGAATATTAGTTTTAACAAATAGAAATATGAAGGTTTAATATTCCTTTGTGTTACTCTCTTTCACTTAAACTTTCTTTGGCCCTTTGTATGTTAACTCTTTCTTTAAGACTTCGTACATCACTTTATTTCAACCTTTGTATGTCAAATCAACTGATTTTTCCCCACCCAATAGCACCATGAAGGCTATTGCAAAGACATGGTGATGTGATGAGTGAAGGCTGTCAGCAGCCAATCAGAACTTTCAGGGGAGAAAGGAATGTTGAATCTATACAAGGGTCTGAAACCCATGAGCAGTGTTCTGATTCTCTCTCTCTGTTTTTGTTTTGTTTTTGTTTGTTTGTTTTTTTGCTTCACAGGCTAGTGCTGACTCCCTGTGCCTCTAACTTAGATCCTTTCCCTGTTTGTCTCCCCACCTCTGATCTTAGGGGGATTTATTTTCAGATTATTTTTGCTGCTGCCAGACAGTCTGCCAATGCCAATGTACCTCTTTAGAATTACTGTTCAGACCTTTCTCCACTGATTTCTTTCGGGATTCCCCCCTTTTTTTGTCTTGGGGGTGGGTGGGACCTATATTTTGTTTAAATATAGGTCCCACACTATATTGTTTAAAATATAGGCAAGTGCATGTTTACTAGAGAAAAAAAGGAAGAAGCAATCTTTGGCTGTATTGTGCATATTTAATGGATAATGTACTTTGACCCTCATTCTCTGAAGGTTTAAATGGATTACATTGTCCATAAAAGCTGAAACTAGAATAGAGGTTTAGAAGCACCTCAACCAAGTCTGATGAGTCACAAGGAGCATGATGAGCAGACATTCAACAGCACACTTTTCCAAAGAGATACAAATTTAAACATACAAAAAACATCTCTTCAGCAAAAGTATGTGCTTATTTTAACAAAATGAGAGGCTTCTGTAATATAGAACATGATATACTCAGCCAAGCTACAGCATGACAAAATGCATAAGATGTCTGTGAAACAGCCATTGCCAAAACAATGAAGCTGAAGAAAAATAGGCTTCTTCTCCACCCATCACAAACACAACCCTCACAAGAGACCAACTAAGAATCAAAACTGAACCAACCCCTCATCTTCATAAAGGTACTTGACAAGAGCCCAGAGGAAAACAAACAGCATTGGCATACCTGGGAAAAGAGGAGAAAAATATATGCAGAGAATGAGACACAAGGAAAGGAAATCAGGAAGGAGATGCAAAGTTGTATATAGTACAGAACGTCTTTAGTTAAAAGGAGATTGAAGGTAATTTACCAAATTTATAGAGCATCCCAAAACTATCTGCTAAAAAATGAACAGACCACAGTCCTTTTCCTGTGTCAGAAAACTACATTACATAATAATAAACTAAACATGCTGACTTTAATCATACATGTATTTCATAGCAGCATAATGGAATGGTCCCTTGAACACTGCATTACAAATGTCTCTGCATTACAGCTCAATAAATTTCAGGGGCCGTTACAAGTTTGCACATGAAATTTGCTACACATGTATTGTAGAAAAGAAATCCAAAGAAATAATATGTCAAATTCACTTTTTAAAAAGAGACAATTGGATCTGTTTAATACAAAACACAAAAATATTCAGCTTACATCAGAAAGACAGACACAAAATTCTAGTAGAACAGAAAATTAAATTATACTTTCTTGAGCACATTATTCAGAAAACCCTATCAATATTCTGCAGGCAAGATATGGTTTAACTTAGTTTGACTCAGTAAAGGAAGGCATGGCCTTTAGTTTGCAAGACCTCCATAGGACTGCTAGTGATGGAACCTTCTGGAGGTCATTAATTCACAGGTATAACAAACATTTCAAGTGAACTTAGGGTACATAGCAACAGTAACAATATGTTGTTCTCCTCCATGCCTATGGACTCTATTAATACCACAAGTTGTCTTGTCACTGTCACAAGGCACTGAAAGTTTACATATGAATAGCATAGCTATTTCCATCACAGTAAAAGTGGTAGGATATATATTTTTATTGATATTGAAATGGAACACCTAAGATCTTGAAGGTTTTTGCTGTGTGGTCTGTCAGAGGTTACCAATTTTGTTTGCTGCGTTAGTTTTTTTTTTTTCTCCTCCTGTTTAATGAATGAGGAGAAAAAGCTAAAGTGAAGCAGAAAGAGACAAGACACAACTTCACAATTATAAGCTGATAAAACTCCATCACTCCAAAGATGTAATTTCTTCCCCAAACTTCTGTGTCTCTACAATCAACTTTCAAATAAATCCCATGCTTATCTCCTGATGACCATCCACCAAACAACAGCAAGTGAATTTGCAGTTTGTAATAATCTGAGATTCAGGACAGGAAAAATCTAACATCTTTTAACTCTTAAGGGAGCTCTACTAGTGATTTTAAAACCAAGTATCTTTAGGATATTTATGTTGCTGTCTTGTCCTGGATAGGTTTAGGATTGGAATTGTATGTACATAATGTTACATACAGCACTGATGTTACATTACTAGTGATTTTGAAACTAAGTATCTTTAGGATATTTATGTTGCTGCCTTGTCCTAGATAGGTTTAGGATTGGAACTGTATGTACATAAGTACCATTGTTGTTAAAAATTCCCTTCCTGGTGATGCTTCACGAAGAAAAATAGTGGTGAGAGAAAAGGAACACTTTCCCCTTCTTATTCTTCTGCTTCCCTGGACCCTACCATCTGAGCATAGCTAGGAAGTGATTGGGTTCAAAGGCAGCTCCAAACTTGTACTGTCTAACTAGAGCTTGGGAAAGTCACTTTTTAGGCAAACACTCCCATAATCTCAGCCAGCATGTTCCCCAAAATCTACCTCTAACACTATAGGAAGGTGTTTTCTATTCCGCAGGACTATCCATCAATGTAGACCATGATTATCTCTTCACCTGGCAGAGCTCCACAGAGCATCTGAGATCTTTCCCATCATATGCCTGTGATGGGGGAAAGGCTAAAGAAAGAAGGAGTAAAGCAGGGTATTCTTTCCTCTTCCTTCATCAAGACCCACACCCACCAATCCCCATAAAGCCTGAACAGGAATACAGCATACAATTTCTAGTCTAGCCAGAGCCCTGGGCAGGAGTATGCCTTAACTGAGTTGGTTTGTTTAATTTACAAACATGTATAGACAATATACTTTTGCATTACTCTCTTAGCCAAAGAACATCAAGATCAAAAGAACCATTATTTGAATTATTCATAACATCTGATGGAGATGTCCAAAGAACTGTCTAGTCAGATTAACTTGGATTAGGTGGGAACGTGACAACAACCATCTGAGAGAGGCTGATAGGGGAGGTGCAACGCTGCTGGTCCTCCTGGATCTTTCTGTATCCTTTGATACCATCAGCTACGGTATCCTTCTGAGACAGCTATTGTGTTTAGGACTTGGGACCACTGTTCTTTGGTGGTTCCACTCTTTCCTCAAGGGTTGTTCTCAGAAAGTACAGCTTGGTGAGGCAATGGAACTTCTGTTACGGGATCCCTCAGGGATCAGCCATTTCCCCAATGTTTTTCAACATCTATATGAAGCTTCTGGGATAAGTCATTTGGAGATTTAGAGTTCATAGTCATCAATATGCAGATGACACACAGCTATACCTCTCCTTTTCTTCATCTGCCATTGGTGCAATGCAATTCCTTGAGCACTGTCGGATGGTGATAATGGACTGGACAAGGGCCAATAAACTGAATCCAGATAAGACAGAGATCTTATTATTGGGTAGATTGTTAGATCTATAAGAGGGATATTTTCCTGGTCTCAACACTTCTCCAAAGGATAGGGTTTGCAGTTTGGGTGTACTCTTAGACTAGAGCTCTATAGAGGCACAAATATCTGCTGCGGACAAGAGTGCTTTTCAACAATTCCATTTGATTACCCATTTGTGCCCCTACCTGGAGAAGAAATGCCTGACAACAGAGGTTCATGCATTGGTAATCTCCAGAATAGATTACTGTAATGTGCTCTATGTTGGGCTACTCTTGAAGTCAATACAGAAACTTCAGCAGGTCCAAAATGTGGCAGCCAGACTGATCCCAGGTACCAACATATATCTCGGGTTTTGCCATGTCAATATTGGCTTCCTGTTAGTTTTCATGCTAAATTCAAGGTGCTGGTCATCAACTATAAAAGCTAAATGGTTTAGGACCTTGATACCTTTCAGAAAAATCTCTCCTACAAAATAGCTACACATCCCAGGTAAATGTTAAAAACAGTGATACCAGAAGAAGCCAAAAGAGTGAATATCAGAAACCAGTTTTTTCCAGTTGTGACCCCACACCTCTGGAATAAATGTCCAGCAGAGGTTTGCCATGTGCCCTCCCTCTCAGTTTTTAAAACGTTAGTTAAATCAGAATCTGTTAAAGCTGCTTTTGTGCTAGTTATATGTGATGTCCAATGCTGTTTTAAATTGTTTATTTATCTAAATATAGGTTTAGCTGATTCAGCAGTCTTGTTGCTTCATTTTATTGTTTGATTATCTGTATCTATAAACTGTACTGTACAGTATTGTTCCTTATTGTTTGTATGCTTATGCTGTGAACTGCTCAGTGTTTTGCACTATGAAGCGGTATGTAAGTTTAAATAATGAAATAAATGAAAATAGAGTATTATCCCCTCACCTGAAATACATGACTTATATTTCCAAAGCAGCGACAATCTTCTTCCAGAATAAGCTTGTTATTATAGTAATATAATATTATCATGTAGCACTGACACTTAGCAGAAGAATATATTTTGTTGTCCCAAACTCTTGTTCAGCAATCTAAATGGAACCACCTCAAGCTGTTTAATCCTTCTAAACTTAATTATTTCCAATGTGTTCTCAGTGCAATTTGTATTGGCACTTGTGATTTATAGTGAAGTCTAAAAAGTTGTTATCTTCCATGTAATTTGATCGCAGATATCCCCAAGGGTTTCCTGGAAATAGATTTTGTATTCATGTTGCCTTGTCTTATTTTCAGTTATTACCTGGTTTGGTCCAGAGCCAACCCTCAGCCTGACCTTTGCAAGTTAATGCACGTTGAGAATACCACTAGCTGATTTTGCATCTTCTGCTACTGCCACCAAGATGCAATAACAATAAAAATATAGGTATACCTTATATTTGGGATGATGTGGCACTTCCCTGGATCAGTTTCAATTTAGATTAACCGTTACAACAGCTATTACGCTACCATGCAGTATAAAGACCCAAAACGTAGTGAATGCCACTATGAAAACAATGCCTGATTTGTGAAGGTGTATACTGTATACAGCTTTAAATTAGCTGTGCCTGAGCTAGTTATAGTTACAGAAGAACAATCTGTTGGCTTATGTGAGTGAGTCAGCTTACAGAGATAGTCAAAAGAATCAATTGCATCAAGCTACTAACAAAAATAATTTTGAAGCTATACTCAGAAACTGGTGAATGGCAGGAAACATACTTGATATGCTTTTATGTGTGCATATGCTGGAGTTGTTTTGATCAACTGAACTTTGCAATAAGCCTAATGGTAAGGCACCATAGGTATACTGGAGAATTCTATATTAATATATCAGTAAGTCTATACAAATATACTTGATATTGCAGGCAATTTATTATTACTGATCACCTACCTTTAAATGCTGCCTTCATTTGATGAGTTCAAGCCAATATAAATGGCTCTTTTCCTCTACACCTACCTGAGGCAGGTTAGGCTGAGAGTGAGTGACTGTTTAGAGCACTGGTTCTTAACCTTGGGTTACTCAGGAGTTTGCAGTTCAAAAGCATCCGAGTAACAAAGGTTAAGAACCACTGGGTTAGAGTCAGCAAGCAAGTTTCATGGTTCTCTGGAGACTCTCAAATATCAATGCAACACTCTAGCCACTTTGTCACAACTAGCTATGGAATCTACAAAGGCTCAATTATAACAATTGTAGTGTTCAACTGTTCTCTCTTTGGTATCTTCTTTAAATCTAAGATTCATTTTCTAAACTAAGCTTCAAAAGGTTGCCTAGGCAAGAGCTACTTTCCACATTTCTATAACCAAGTTGTAGGAATCAAAAGGTTAACATTCTGTGCAAATGAACTGACATAGGTGGTTGCTTTCAAGCAGATTAACTAATGGAACCTCTCAGTGCTACATTTCTGGAAATGAGCTCTCTTGTATGTGTCAGGA